GGTGGGTGAGCTGGGTGAGCGGGGCCAGCGAGCAGGTGGCCTTTCCCTCTGCCTTCAGGATAAAACCGGGACTCTGCCATTTGCCCCGCTTAAACCTTTATTTTCCTGTACTTCAGCCGGCCTTACCGCAAAAATGGGGTTTATCACTGAATAACCCGTTTCGGCTTCTTTCCGCCAGTGACGTGGGCAATAATTACACAGGTGCCGTCTCTGAACCTACGAAATCTGTAACAAGAAGACAGCTAATCTGAACGGGATCGGGATTGGGCCTACAAACCCTGATTTTCTTTTACATAGCAGTCAATATCAGGAATAATACACGGGACATTCAATTTTTTATGAAGTGGAAAAGCTCACCATCATTCATCATTTCTTGAAAGTTTACCAATTTTGAAATTGGAAAAGATACAGCTCAATAGATACAATTACTTCTAAAATTAATAAAGAGAAATGATGTTTACTGATTTAAATGGCTTGTTTATTGTTTGTACGAAAGGCCAAGTGTGCTGGATACTTGAAACAGCTCCTAAAATATAATTCACACTGTAACAACGTATTTTTTGCATTTACAATAGAGTAAGTATATATCTAGATGTTAATTAGTCTCCTCCATGTCTGTTTTATAACCACAGTTTTGGTTAACTGTAGCTTCTTAGAAAATGAGCTTGGCTCCTCCTAAATACAGCCATAAATTCAAGCAGCCTTATAATAAAAAACAGAAAAGAAGTTGGTACATCCTAACCACGCATCTTAATTCTCTATTTGACTTATTTTTATACTGATTCTCAGTATCACTCCATGAAAACAAAGTCTTAAATTAATTTGTAGTCTGTGATGAGATATATGGAGTGGGAAACAAGGCGTGGGATCAAACCTCTGCTACATGACCAGCCTTTCACAAGGATGTGTGTCGCATTCTGCAGAGCTGAGCGCTGAGCCAGCATCATCCTTGGTTTTATGTGTCAGTCCAGAACAGATGATCAGAGCACTAGGGTGTTCAGTACGGAAATGTCAACAGAGGCTGAGTACTCTTCAGCTGGCTAACAAAACAGCGGGGTGGGAAGAGGGGGATAACCCCAACGTTTGGTGGTACTAGCACAGAAATGGAACAGAGGTGCGCAACAGTCATCGGTTGGTTGGAAACTGTACCAGCCCAGGCACTTCGACCATATCCTCCTACCTTGGAATGAGCTTGAGGCACACACAGGCAGCTCCACAGTTCCCTCCTGAAATAAATCACCTCTGATTTATTTACTTATCAGCTTGAGTTTTACCTGAACTTGCACTGAGTTGGGATCCTGCAGTAAGAGTGAATCGTTTTCCTCTTGCTCACCAAAGGGACAACACATCCCCAAATACACTGAAAATGTTTAACGAGACACTTCCTGCAGCTAGAAGTGAATCACAACCAACACGTTCTTATTGAGTGTACATGCAAAAAACGGCACAGAAACTCAAGAAATCTCAGGCAGCACGTTAATAGCATCAGAAAGAGAAGTTTACAATCTTCAAGTCAGCAAGGGCAATGGGCAGGGTGAGGTGTATGGGGTGGCACAAAGCTTAAGCGAGGAGACAATGAAGATAGATCCTTCAAGACAAGATAGGCGCTTATGAAGTATTGATACTTTAGTAAGGTAACACTGACATATCTGTCTATACATAGGTATGCAGTTGCTTGGCAGCTCAGACATCTTGCCAACCTAATTGTCTCCGCTTTGCTAAGCTTCAAGGACACCAGCTCTCCAATACATTTCCCAGAAGTCAGCCTTCCACTTGTGCTTGGAAAAATGATGATAACGAACACGGGAAGTTCAAAGGGCAGTTTAACAAATCTCCAAAGTAACAGCACACTGCTAGGATACTGCCGCAAGGTCTTCCACCCTCTCTTGCCTCTGCCAGATAGATGCATTGTTTGGTACTGAAATAATTCTCCAGGACATTTATGAACAGGGATTGGGAAAACTTCTAAGAACTCTCCTGTCATGATATAAGGAAAATGAATACTTCTCAAGGTAGGTGGCAACAAAAAACACCTCCCTGGGTGACAAGGACACCCCTCCCCCCAAAAAAACCCCAACAAAAACCAAACAAAAAACCCCCGAACAAACCCAAAACAATCAAACAGAACCAAAAATTGTCTAACCAGAATTTGAAGTTGAAACTTATTTTTATACTGATTCTCAGTATCAGTTGAAACTTCAAATTGAAGTAAAATAAAAATTAAACACCTCACATAATTTGTAACAGCAGTTTCTCTAGGTAGGTTAACATTCTCATGTAGACCCACATACAGAGCTCATACTCAGTTTAATCACTACCTAAATGTCAGTCTATGTTCTAACCTACTTTGCATTAGATGGGTATCAAGTTTTAAGGAAATATAAAAACATCTCAAGGTCTTATAAATTTAGCCCCTTCCAAAATGTGTGCACCTCTATTTCCCCCCAAATCAACAGTATCCCTAAAGTCTTTTTAAAAAGAAAGAAAACTCCAGAATAATTAAAATGTGACAGCCACTCACAGTGGGTCTACAAAAAGCTATCTCAGAAATACAGAATGCTCTAGGACAGTAAAGAGACAGTGACTTCTACCAACTGAACTTCTGCCCCAACATAAAAAAATAAATATGTAGCTGCTTTTCCTTTTCTGAGGGCAGGGGAAAGGAAACACGGGTAAGGAAGTGTGGAATGGCAGAAGGGGCGATCTAATTCTTACTGGCCATTTTGCCCACGCAGTAGTCCTAAAGATGTGACTGAAAATAACGTCTCAAAGCCTATGCAATGTTAAGTGTAAGGAACAAACGCTACTATTTAGCAGAAAATTAGTGATGTAGAACAAAATGCTTGATCCCACAGCTGCACATATAAGAACTCAGCTTTTTGCTTTTAGAAGAGGAAACAAAAATGCATAGGTCTGTTTCGAGTATTGACTTTTAATAGCTCGTTTCTCATAAGGGAACAGGGGATGTTTTCTGTTTTAGAAATACAGGTATCAGTTGAGCCTTAAATACAGCCTGATCCTGCCAACAGGTCATGTACATGATTTATTTGGCTTCAGCTTTTGTTTTTATGCATTAAGTAACCTTCAACCTTTTTTTTTTTTTTTGTAATACAATATATAGACAATTTAAGTACAGTAATCGTGTAGGTATTTTGCTGTCTGCACATTTTTCTTGACATACTGGACAAAGTGATACACCGCAGCCACCGCAGCCCCCAACCCAGGTTTCATACAAAGCGTGTTGAATACTGCTTTCGGTGTCACACTCAACTTGCTCCCGTATTTAATTTGCCAGATCTACAGAAACAGATCCTTTGGGAATATCAAGAATTATTTCCAACTTTGTCCAGTGACATTCAAATGCTCAGGCAACTACTGGCATCTTCCATTGTATGCTTACTACAGATGTTGCACACTGACAGGAAAAGAAGTTTTAGAACTGGACAAGCTATAGTAATCCAGGTTTCAGTAGAAGAATTATATACAAAAAGGGAATTTTTATATATAGTTTTCAATCTGTAGTTTCATTTTCAAAATAAAACCTGTATATATAAATGGATAACATTCAAGATCTGTATATGACTTAACATCTGCCTTCTGGCTAAAACAATCTATTTAGACAGAATCTCACTTTCTGTTTTTCACTTCAAGTATGCTAGCCAGTACAGTCCTTTGGGGAAAAAAAAACTTCCATTTTTAAATCCTTTAGGATCCATCAGATTCATTATATGGTAATGACCTTAACTTACACAATATACTATATTATGAGGTGAACTGAAGGGGATTAGATATCCAAGTATTGGTCTGGGTGCAGTAAGCCAAACAGCTGTTTAAACATGATACTACAGCTGAAATAAGTCTCTGTCAGAATAAAAACCAACATTCATGAAAACAGCAGCAGCCATCAAAAACATTCACAACGGCAGGGATTTTTTACTGTGTATAATTTTGCATTATAAGTAGGAAAAGCCACAATAGTTTAAAGCAAAATTAAAAAAAAAAAAAATACCACTACAGTCTTGAATTTAATAATGTGAATTGTCACTCTTACAGCTGTTTATAGAAGTGTACTAAAAAAATTTACTTAAACATATGAATTTAAGACTTTCACTTTATTCAGCAAATTGGTTTATTTACACAATGGGGAAAGCTGGTTGAATGCTGTCAATGTAATAAAAACAAATCTAACAGAGACAATACTGAACTCTCTCTATGTATTCATAGCAGAAATGACAAACTATTTCCTTACCTGTATCAGGAACATCAAGCGCAACATTGGGACAGTATCATAGGACACTGATTTAACAATAAACCACAGAGGTCCAGTAATACTATGGCAATTTACTTGTGTATTTACTGACTTTAAAAAAAAAATAAAAAAACCCAAAAATTTAAAAGTCAGCAATACACAGTATAAAGTTCTGTGAATTATCAGAGTCAAACTCTGATGAGTAGGTCAGTAAAACCTTATCAGATCATCCACAATTCAGTGACCTGACCTGCTTCAGACCACTAATACCAAAACAAAATGATGAGAATAGATTACCCTCTAAAAGGCAACAATGATCTGATAAGGGTTTAACTTAATGGAAGTTTAAAAAAAAAAAATAAAAATTAAGAATTGCAGAGCACAGCCCCTATTAGAACAAGCTAACTTTCCAGACTTCCAAAAAAGAAAAAAAAAAAAAAAAAAAAAAAAAAAAAAAAGGGGGGGGGAACCCAACACTTCAACATGAAGCTACCATACAAAGTTTTTTTTTTGTTTTCCTTTTTTGTTGTTGTTTTTTTTGTTGTTGTTGTTTAAAAAGTTCAGTGTTGCAATTTAATCCTGGCTTTTTAGTGAGAAGGACAGTTTTGGCCTAGACTTTCCTTTGCCCAGGATAATTTTTTGCTCTTCCTTTTGCTGACGTTGTCTCTCTTGTTCTAGTTTCATCCTCTCCTCATGAATCTTTCTTTGTTCTTCAACAATTTTCAATTGTTCTTCAGCCTATATATGAAAATGGTAGAATTTAGGCCAGCATATTTTGTAGTCATAAAAGCAATTTACAAGTCCGTATTAACCTTCAAACAGGTCCAATCTTGCACAGGTATGTAAGTAGTTCTACCTGAGCTAGATGACACAGTTGGTTTCAGTGAAACTATTTATAAAATGGTTATTTGAACTGAGTTTAGAAGAAATGCTAAAAACTTCTATAGCTCATGTATCGAAAACTCCAGTGCTTACATGCAATGTTTTTCAGCACTGCTCTGCAAACAACACATTACATTTTAATTAAGGAAGTCAGTGTATATAGAGAGAAATTCTCCTGACACCTGTCACATGTCAGATGAAGGCATGACCTAATGAAGTAACAGAGGTTCAAACAGAGGTTCCTCTGCTCCAAAACCCATCTAAAACCCCCTGCTAATTCCAAACCATCTTTAGTTGATTTGTAACAACTCAATCCTTACACTGACTTATGGTTCTTACAGCTCTTCCAGTGGTCTTCTAAAGGTGCTTATTTTATTACGTCAGTCAAAACTTTAAATTTTCCATTTGTTCCATTTCTACCATATAAGGTTGAGAAAGGGGTAAACCAGAAAGAGATCTAAAGCAGACACAGTTCAAGCAAACAGTTTTAAGAAGCAACATCTTTACCCAAGAAAGGTGTAATTACTTGAGTAACTGAAACCAACAGAGTTCAAACAAGATTTAAAAGCAACTTAGTTTGGTTTACCATTAATTGATTAAATCAGCTACAACATACTAAATGTTCTCACGAGGCAGGCACCTGCTTAAATAGGCTTGCAGACCAACATAAGCTAGACTTTCCTAACTTGGGCATCTTAAGCTTATGCTCAAAGTCCCTTATACATCACCATTACACCAGTCTCAAATCCAGTTTGTACTTGTCCTGCTCAACAAAACAGAATTGCTCACTTTTATTCTAGAAGCTGAATATGTTTGCAAACTTATTTCAACCCTCCCTGTAAGATACAGTTAAAAATGTACTTTTAAAATTCTGAAGGCAGCTATCTTCCTCTAAATTAACTGCACCTGAACTATTTTTTCAGACCAGTGTTACTGCTAAGGATCTGGTCTCTTCTGTTCAAGGGGAGGACAGCAACGCTACTGACATAACCAGCAACAGACAAATTAAACTCTAGAAAGGGTTGATTTGTTTATTTTAATTGTGTTGCAAATCAGGTAGAGGGACCTGTATTCCCCTACAGAACGGTTAACTACATCTTCACATACCAGTTTAGCTTGTGCTTCTGCAATTTTTCGATTATTCTCTTCTAGTATTCGCTCTAGTTCCTCACGCTTTGCACGTTCTTCTTCCTAAACGGGAGGACAGGGCAAGATGTTAGGAAGGTAAAACATTCATTTCTGCATGTTCACTAATCTTTCTCAGAATTCTTTCATGAACTGACTTAAAGCGGTAGCTTTACAGCCACCTATTTTGTCTCACAACGGTAAACTGTGCAGCCACTAAACCTGGTTTCTAGTACTCAATTTAAATCATCCCGCCCAGTCCAAACAGCAACCAACTAAACCCTCCCTAATCATAGAATCCTGACAATTTATTACTAGAATTTTAATATCACACAAATCAACAAGGACAACTACAAAAACTGGATAGTATTTACCAAATTAAAAAGTAATATAGAAAATAGAAATAAAGTGAATAGTTTGTCTCACCAATTAAGTATACCTACGTATTCTTTACCTATACTCCTTTAATCAGCATTAAAAGTTGAATATTTACTGTCTTGTCCAGTGTCCTGCAGAGTGTGCTCCTCGGCTGCCATACGCGCCAGCTTCCTCTTTAAAATGATTTGTACTGTTAGCTTGGCAATACCTGCATCAGCAGCTCAACCATTTATAAAGAAACAACATACAAGGAAGGCTGAGCTGAGGAATGCAGATGTTTATGGTAAGAAGGAACAAAAATATGTAAATCATTCCTAAGGCAAACAATTAATAAGAAAAATACATTTACTGTTAGTGAAAAATACAAATGGTCATCCATACTTCATGGAGCTATGGGCTTCTTTCATGGGGAGAATGGACTTAACATTCAATATTTTGACAATTTTAAGACAGCTGAAACTGTCATTTGCAGTCTGAACTTGGAATTCAGGAGTCCAGGGAAGGCAAGATCAGGAAATAAAGCCTTGTAATTGTTGTTTTCTTGGTGAATTTTATGGAACTCTGTTATGCATCTCAAATATGAAGACTGCGCGAAAGTTTTTGAGGTGTTTCAGTTCAATTAATATATATCCGAATTATTTTAATATTTGGAAGATTAAAGTTAGCCAGAGGTTTGTGTCTGTGTAAGAAAAAAAAGTTAATACGAACAAAGCAAGCATACGAAGAGAAAACTTCTTACTATGACTAGTAACCAGCTACTAGCTAGCACACTTCACTCCAGGCATGGAAGTTTATTTTGCAGTACAGACAACTGATGGGACTTCTCCACATCACATTGACAATAGCAAAAATACTTTATTTATTTTTTTTTAAAAAAGGTCATCCATCTGATCAAATTAAAACCTCTGTACATGAAGCATCTGCTGACTACAGACATCTAAATTAAATTTGAATTCTTTCACAGTAAGGTCTGAATTTGCAAAACAAGTGTAATTTAATATTCATAATATTTGTTGTAACTCAGTGTTCCGGATTTTTTTCTGTTTTTAATTTAAAGAGATTATGTGACAGACAAATCACATTTAGTACAAAAGGGAAAGCTTCATTGCTACTGTCTTTCCTTTTAAGCCAATCAAAATGTAGGAGGTACAGAGTGAAAAAGACATTTGAGTCTTATGACTACTTATCACAAAGTTCCTTTTCAGTTTCAAGTTTGTCTTGAAATTTCTGGATCCTGGAATGATTGGTGCAGGCAGGCATCAAAGCCTTTAGTAGCAAATTACTGTATCACAGAAAGACATTTTCAGCTTCTGCTCCAGCTGCTGATTAAAAAAAAAAAAAAAAAAAACACAATAAAAAAAAAAGTCACATGTTCAGCTTGACTTCAGACAAGGGCAACCTGCTCTTTTATAACTTCTAGGGAAAAAAAGGAGTTGTTAGTAGTTATTAAAAATGGATATAATGATTTGGACATAGATCCTTCGTGAAGACACGGATGGGCTTATGCTCGAAGTCCCAGAATTAGTCCAACGTACGCTCAAGAAAAATGTTCATTTTAAATAAAGAGTAAGAAACCTATTTGTTAAAGACAGGTACTGCAGCCCACTGCTGGACCCTGCTTTTTGCCTGACTGAAGGCAAAAGCCTCTTACAGTCTAAGTAAAAATAAATGAAACACATGAAGGATACATAATTACAGATTTTCAATACCCTTCCCCAAAAATGAAAGGACCGCTGATAAATCCTGCAGCCATGGCAAAAGTTTCAAACATTTCTGAAATATGTAGGTCAGTTCCATTAAAAATCAAGTATCCTTGTTCAGGTTTTAGGAGAATAACTGTTTAAGTATCAGTGAGCTCCTCAGAATAGGCCAGAAATTAAGTTTCGCAGCAATGCAAGTTTATACGAGAAGGGAATTAGATTTGCTGTATTCCATCTCTTTCTGAACCGAACAGGAGGCACAAACCGACACTGAAAGTTTTGCCATGGACTGTCTCTACTTTCCAAACGACCGAGCGTTACCTCTCTGGCTTTTTGTGCTGCAAGTTCAGCTTGTCGCTGTCGCTCGAGTTCTTCGAGCAACTGTTTTTCCATGATGCGCTTAGCCTCCTCCACCCTGCGGAGAACCTCTCGCTCAATCTCATCCTTCCTTTTCTCCAACTCTTCTTCTACACGTTTAGCCACCAGCTCTTCTACTCTTCGAGCAGTTTCTTCCTCTATGAGTTTCTCTTCGATTTCTTGTTGACGACTACAAAATGCAAACGCAAGGATCACCTTCTTAATCAATAAAGAAGGTTACACTGAAAAAAACTCTTTCAAATACACAGCATCAGGCACACTACTAAGTTACTTTTTAAACAGTTTTATATCTTAGACATGCACAGATCATACATTTAAGGATGTTTTGCCCTACACTTAAGAAAAGTGAATATTCAGGCAGCGTTCCTACCACAGGGAACCTATTTCGACCATACCATATTTAGCATCTCTCCATATCTCAAGACACTAAGCATAAAAAGACAGCTTATCGTACTGTTTCTTGATCATTTTTAAGGGGGAAAAAATGAAAAGAAAAAAGACCCCACCCAACTTTGGCCATCCTTCATGCTTGAGGAATTTAAATAGTCTCAATTTTAAGCCATGCATAGCAGTATCATCTTGCAAAATCTTGTTGTAAAGCCACCACCTCAGAGGCAGTAATCTCTAACTAAAATAGAAGACAGAAGCAATAAGATTCGTAATTTGAATATTCTATCAAGAATTCCAGGTGTTCTATCTAGTTATGCAATAATTTGCCTTATCAAATTTCAAATACCTCAGCTCTCCTTAACTTCTTTATTAGGACTGTTTCTACTGTAATTATTCAAAATAAAATATACCAATAGCAAGCGCTAAATAAATCCTTGCAACCTTTACAGTCCATGTTCTGAATTTTGGACGTATTTTCAAATGTCTTCTTGTCTTTATTTTTGTTTAGCAGCAGCATTATCACTTAGCCTGATCACTGTTTCAAGTTTTCATTAAAAAGGATACAAAAAGATTAGGTCAATTTGCAGGTTTATTACCAAATTCAGAAAAAAAAAAAAAAAAAAATCTTCCAGGTAGTAACCACTAGTACAATATGGCAATCAGATATCCAAAGGCCAACAAAAGTGAATACTGTATTGCTGTATTTCACAAAGTACTGTTTATTTAGAATTATTATGGGCTTCGGAGAGAAGACTGTTCTTTTTAACCTTGAAACTGAACTTTAAGTATTCTATGAAGTACGGAACAATCTTATAAACTTATTATCTGTCCTGTCTGTACCAGAAATCCATGATTTAGAGTAAAAACTAATATTATTTTCTTACTTATCTTGAGATAAATCTTATTTATGTAGAGACACAAAAACAACTAAAAAAAAAAGTTACAATGTTTACTAACTTAGACTTGCCAGTGTACAATTTGCAAACGTGCAATGGACATAATAAAGTATTGATTCCTGATCTAGATAAACATGTGAAATATCAAGATGAAAGGCTTCCAAATTCCCCCTGTATCTTCTTTTCAAAAGTGTGCTGAAACAAATGGACAATCTTATCTCCTTCAGTAAAAAGTTTTGGAACCCCCAATTTAACATGTAGCCCCAGATGACAAATTTTATTCTTCCGTTCCTCAAGAGATAGCAAACTTATCCAGTGGCACATTAGGCCAGCAATCACTTTTCCTAAAGTGACACAAAATACCTTGAGGTGTTGGGGTTTGTTTTGGTTTGGTTTTTTTTCCAGAAAAACAAAAAAATAAAGATCACCACCATCCACAAAAATGCATCAACCCCATTCTGTTACTGTGTCTCTGCCAAGCCACTACTGCCTCCGATCCTTTTTGAATGAAAGGTAGGGGAGGGGTCAAAAGTTTAAAGACAAATTTTTAAACACCTTTTACATACTAAATATCCTTTTATTTTTAAAGGTTTTTCTTCCCTCTTACAGGTTTTTATTTCGCAGCGATCACTCTCACTGTCCTGTACTGATATGGCTCAGCATACATATGAGGCTGCTCTACAGAAATAGTTTTTTCAGAAAGCTCATATTCATGTTTTTTATTCAACTGTTTTAGCTTTACGTTTAACATCAGGGAAATTTAGAATAAAAGTTAGCTAATTGAATAAAGATAGCACACAGTTACAAAAAACCTCCTGACACTCATGTCTGAAATCAGTTTTCAAATACCCTCAGCAATTTATGATGTTCTCAAACTAAGCACTGTGCCTGCACACGTTTCATTCTTCTCACAACAACAAATTCCATTAAAATTTAATTAAACCAAGCAAATATATATTTTCACATTCGCAGGCCATGACAATACTACAAATATAGAATAACTGTTCAGTGTAAGCAACCACAGTTCTTGAAACACTAGAAATAGAAAGAAGTGAAATAAAGTAAAAATTTATTCTCAAAGTTCATTTATAAGACCACCTTGTGCCTATGGATAAAGATAATAAACTTCCAAACATGGCTTAGAGTTTATCAAGAAAATCAAACTATAAACACTGATACAAATCTCAATGACTTATTCTGTAGTTTATACCAACTATTCATTAGAGGTTTTTTTTAAATCACATGAACTTACATTATTTTATATACAAATGTAAGCTTATCATCCTGACCTACTGAGCCATGACTCCAGAGAAACAGGTAAGTCATTAATGTAAAAATATTTTCAGTATGCTCCATTTACCTCTTAAAGATTAATTTTAGAAAATCTGCAGAAAATAAACTGCTTACATTTCAGCAGATTTCGGGGGGGGCGGGGAGAGTCATATTTGCAAGGCCTTTACAGAAAACTAGCATTATAGGAAAAATAAGTTAGGCTATGTATTAAGATTTAAACGGACGAATAAAGTAATTTTCAATATATGAACTGTCTACCAGTTAATTCAGTCAGAAAGACTTTCTTTCCTTCACTAACATGAGTATATACTAACATATATAATATAATTGACAGATGATTTACTCAAAACCAGTTTTCCACTCTATTAATTTTTGTTGCTTTTTCTTTTTGTAATTTAAAGTGTATTCTAGAACCACCAAAATGCTATGCCCAGTCTTTTCCAATGTTGTTTATCCATCAGAAGTTTATTATTCTGTTGCCAGTATCACTCAATTGTTGTATTCCTGGTACACAGATTTCATGAGGGTTTTAAAAGGTCAAAGCTAACTGACACAGAAATCTTACTGCAGAAACAGAGTTGCAATATATGTTGCTATATCTAATATTATTGAATGAACCACAAGTTCATTCAGTTTCAATTTGAGCACTCCATAGCAAAAAAGTGAACAAATATTTTAGAGATATTATTTAAAGATTATAAACACTTAGTTTTTCACAGGCACTTGAACAGATTCTTTCAACTTTCAAAGCTTTGACAGACTAACCATAAAATTCTCCACTAAGACTAACACCATTTAATATTTTAAGTTAAATAGTATTTATTTTGTTATTTGCACAGTGTTCTCTCTCTTCCTTCTTTAAATCCAGTTACTAAATATTTAAAAGAATACAAGTGAACTAAAGTAGCTCCAGAATCTATTCACTATATTCTCAAATCATTAAGCATATTCCATTCTGTCATGTTGGATATGCATGGAGTGTTTTTACTACTGTAGGTACTGAATAAAACTATAAACCACTATATTAAATAACTCAAAAAGCATTCAACGTTTTCACATGTGTTTGTGTTACTATGCAAGATTTTGATGACATCGCTGTCAAATTCTTAAGTTAGCAAAGCAATCCGGATGATCAAGCCTTCTGAACTACAACTAATATATCATTAGAACAATATAACTGAAATAAAACTCAGAGCTCGAGTTAACAGAACTACTTGGACAGTATTGCTAAAACATCTTAACGCACATCCAACCTTCTCTAAAGTAGAATTTATCTATCTCTGTAGACTTTAGAAATAACCACGTTCCCCACAACGAAAACTGAGAAAGGAAAAGGTTTAAAATTAGACAAGTCATGGGATCTCACTGCCCCATTTGGCAAGAAAACAGGAAAAAAACCCTCCCAGATCATACAATCGTCGCCCAGTGCTTCTGAAAACCCTAAGCCCAGCAACTCCAGCCGCCTCCGCTCGACGCCCCGCAGCCCCACGCAAGCGAGGGGAGGGGCAGGCGGTGCGGCAGCGCAGCACAAAGCCCCCGCGGCGCCGAGGCCCCCTCCGCCCGGAGACGCTTCC